TTTAAAAGAAGAAAAAAGAACTCTAATCAGCAGACAATACTCAAAGAAAAGACCTTAGCCTTTTCTTGAAAGATTAGTGAATAAATAGACACTTACATTTTTTTAAAATTTATTTGTAATTGAAGGATAATTGTTTTAAAATGTTATGTTGGTTTGTGCTATACAACAATGTGAATCAGCCGTAAGTATACAAAGGTCCCCTCCGTCTTGAACCTCCCTCCCTCCCCGCTAGGCTGCCACAGAGCGGCAGGTTGAGCTTCTTGCATTGCCCAGCCAATTCCCCCTGGCTGGCTGTTTTACACATGGTGATGTGTATGTTTCAGGGCCGCTGTCTCACTTCTCCCACCCTCTCCTTCTCCCACAAGTTCACAAGTCTGTTCCCTTATGTCTGTGTCTCCACTGCCGCCCTGCAAAGAGGTTCATAGTTTATGCTTTAATTTTAAACAGAACTATACATACACACAAATACACATATATGTCTATATGTATACATACGTGTGTGTGTGTATGGAAGAGAGATCAATTTTTCATGATCCCTCCCCTGTGTTAAATGACTTGGCTCCTAACACCTACTGGTCCCAAGTACATTTGAAAAGGAGGGCTTCTACTATAAACATTACCAGGACTGGCCTGCACTCTGTAGTCAGTCTCCCTAAGAGATTTCAGATGTGACACCACTCGCTAGGTTTATTTGGGTTTTTTATTGTGTTTGGTTTTGTTTTCATTTACCAACCTTTTATTGAGAACCATGAAAAAATGACTCCATCTTTAAAACAATGGTTTGAAAAGAGAGAAAAGGCAACGTCAGACAGCCGGATGGATGAGGGAGGTCATGACCTCCCAGCGCTCTGTCCTTTCTGGCCATCTTGCCCTCCCAAGCCATCCCTTTCTCTAACTTCCTGGGGATCCCACAGAGGTGGGTCCCCTGCTGCCAAGGGTTTGTTGAGAGGCAGGAGGGCGGGATGCAAATTGGAAAAATGGGCCTGATGTTCTCAACCTGGGGCGGAAGAAGGATGAGGAGGCCATCTTTGGATAATTTGGGTCCAGATAAGAAAAGAGCCTCTTGACCATGCTCAAATGATATTCTTCGACCCTAGCTTTTCCTAGTCGGATGTGAGGGACCTTTACAGCTGTGAAGAGAGTAATATCACTAAATAAGGAGGCATTTCAAGTCCTATTCCAACCATGCTCCCCAGGTTATCCACCCACGCAGGTTCTGTGTGTGTGTGTATGTGTGTGTTGGAAGACCTTAGGTGAGGTGCTGCATCTCTAATCCAGACTGAAGCTTTGGATAAGGCAGCCTCCTATTTCAAGATGCTTTATTTTCCTGAATACCTAAGAAATAAAACCCAAACTCTGGAAGCCAGGCTCTTTTGAAAAAAGTTCCCCATGCCCCAGAAAGTTTAAAATCTGCTCTATGCAAGAACCAAACAGAAGGAGTAGGCAGACGGGAGAGAGGGATTCAGCTTCTTTTCAGCCCTCCCGAAAGGATCGCTGAGCTACTCGACTTGCTCTCCACTTTAACTTTGTTGTTGCCTGAACTGCGGGTCCCTGCAGCACTCACAGCCATGGAAACTGCTCTCCTCCCTCTGCCCAAGGAAAGCCACTTCAGTAAGTGGAGACGGGTGAGAGGGACCTGGGGAGGGCAGGCATGGACACGGGAGCCCTATTTGGTTGCTTGGAGAAGTAACTGGACCACTGCCTGAGATCGCCAAGCCCTCCAGAGAAAGGAATTGCAGGGGCATGAGTCATACCCCATTTTAGACGAACTCAAGGGCGCCCTGGGGGTTGGGGGCCTCCCTTATCAAGAAACAGGCAACTGGAGTACACAGATTGTGCTTGGCCAAAGGCTAGGATCAGCTTCTGCTTTATTAGCTATTAAACTAAGTGGATTAAATGAGAATTGACTAGAACTGCACACTTAGAGTTCCCTTACAAAACACCGTTATCTCATAAGCGGGCTTAATGGAACAGGCTGTCAGGGGCTTATAAGCAGTAACTGAATACAACACCTTACAGGACAGAGAGATGGAGGATGTGCAGCAGTCCTGGGAAGTCCCAAGATCCCACGCCTCGTGTGCACGAGAAAGACAGGCCAGGGGTATAACTGCGAACCACACCATTGGCATCTACCCCAGGAACGGGCCCAGGTCTTCCCAGGAAAAGCATCTGCCACTCATTCCACTTTAAAAGCATTTCTAATGCTGGGAAAGATTGAGGGCAGGAGGAGAAGGGGACAATAGAGGATGAGATAGTTGGATGTCATCACCGACTCAATGGACATGAGTTTGAGCAAGCTCCCAGAGATGGTGAAGGACAGGGAAGCCTGGCGTGCTGCAGTCCATGGGGTTACAAAAGACATAACTGGGTGGCTGAATGACAAAAAGTGCTTTACTGACCTTCTGAAGACAGTAGAGTGGGGTGGCTGATACGACTGTCTTGGCAGTTAGACCACAGGCTTTGCATCATAGCTTTACTGCTTTCATTGAGGGACCATGTGTTACTTCTCATGGCTGAGTTCCCCCATCTGCAAAATGGGAGTAATAATAGTACTTACCTCACTTACCTCACTGGGTTTCTGTGGAGATTAAATGAGCTAATATGTATAAACTCCTTAGAATAGTACCTGATGTAAGTGGTTATTTAGGTGGGCTATTACGGCTTTTACACAGAAAAATAATTCATCCCATTTCATAAATTTGCACCCACATCTCCTCTAACTATTATTAGTTGCAGCATGAGTTTGGGATGAGCTGCATTCACAAAGGAGATGTTCTGAAAGGCAGGAGGCGGTGTACCTGGAGGAGGTCAGGGCTGTGATCAGAGGGACATTTTGCTGGAGATGGTGATGTGGTTTTGCACATCATTTGTCTTCTTTGATCCACATTTCTCGCATGTGTGTGTGTGTGTGTGTGTGTGTGTGTGTGACTTTTCATTATAGGGTTTGGGTAACTGAATGTAAACCCTGCTTTTGGTGAAGATTGGTATAATTATGAAAATGCTCAGAGATGATAAAAATGAGACCCCCTTTGGCCTGGTGTCCCAGAAGCATGTCCACTGCAGAGCACCTGCTTTGAGGATAACAGACACGTCAGAACAAGATGATGGTTTGGAAGAGGTTGCTGTGTGCAATTGATTTGAACAGTGGAGAATGTTAACTGGTTTTTAGGGAAATTTTAGTTTATTTGTAAATTTAGGACTTTTTTCCCAACAATTTCTTTGACAGTTTTATTTTTCTGTTGGGTTTCTTTGAGTTCAGGTTACTTGTAAACATTTCTATCAACAACCTGCTCCACAGTCAACCTGCCTCTTTGGAATTACACAGCCTTTGCTTAACCTAATTCTAATGTATAATCCACAACTTCCACATGTAGTTTATTATTTTCAGTACTCTGCAATCCAGGATATGGTTTTATCCCTCTCAGCCTAATGGAAGAACATTATAGTCCTCACTTTTCAAAAAAATTGAAAGAGAACAAATGAAAAATTGTATAAACTGTTGTTGATCTTGATGTTTAGTCACTAAGTCGTGTCCGACTCTTTTGTGACCCCAGGGACTGTAGCCCACCAGGCTCCTCAGTCCATGGGATTTCCCAGGCAAGAATACTGGAGTGGGTTGCCATTTCCTTCTGCAGGGGATCTTCCCGATCCAGGAATCAGACCTGTGTCTCTAACATCTCCTGCACTGGCGGGCAGATTCTTTACCACTGCACTATCTGGGAAGGTCTAGGCTGCCTGTGTTCAAATTGCCCTGGAAGCTCTGGTATCCTGAGACAAGAATTTGAATGCAAACACTATATTTGAGAAGATGTCCCAGGTAGTGTGGTCAGGAAGTAGGGAAGTGAGATGGGAGGAAAGAAAGCCAGTAGTGAAGGGATTCATGAGTGAGTTACTGTTGTGGACAACTAGGACTCAGTCCTACTGCCCCCTCCCCATCAGGCAATGGAGACCACAGTTCAGAATGGTTCCTACTGTCCCCCCAACAACAATCGTCTTGCTGTTTCTGAGTGCTGACTTGCATGCTTCTAACCAGAAGAAGCCCTCAGACAGGAAGAGAGACACAGAAACAGCCGTGCAGGTCCTTGAGGAAGGACACAGAGGCCGCAGGAACTGTTCTCCAGACCTACACGTGAGCCAGGTGCCTGAGCCCACGGGGGCCGAGCAACGTCAGCATGCTAGCGGGAGTGCTCCTTGATCTCCCTGGATCTCAGCTCTCTTGTCCTTAAAATAGGAGAAAGAATAGCTCCTGCCTCATAAGGGTGATACGGGGATTGATGAATTCCTGTATCTGCAGTATTTCAACAGTCAAAAATACTCATCTTCAGTCTTTCTCTATTTTTTGAACCTCTAACTTACCATAATCATTCCTCTTCTGAATAGGCTTCTAACAAGATAGAGGATAAATCCATCTATTATAAGTTTCAAAAAGAAATAGAACCATTTCCGAGAATGGTCTCCTTATTAGGCCCCCTTTGTGTTTGATCAGCTTTGAATGGCTGCCTTTTGAAACATGCCGTATGCTTTGTTAGCACATTAGATGCCCAGTCCAGCAAGTTCTGTTATTGGAGCAGCTCTATGAGCTTTCTCGTCCTGGCTGTTCTATTTTATGGAAACCGTTGGTGGGATTCAAGTGTGAGTGGCTCATCACAGTCCTCTGTTGTATTTTTCTCTGTGTCTCCTCCTCTTTTCTCAGAGCTATTTTCTAAGGATAGCAGACCCTAGGGAGCTTTCTTTTTGTGAAACTTCTACAGTCTAGGGGTTGAAGCCAGTGGCTGCAATCCCAGGCAATTCTGAGTTCTCCTTCTGTCAAAGGCATTTATACTCGGTGTGTTTCGTTGCTCAGGGGTGATTGAAACAGCCCAATTGGTGAACAGCCAGGGGAAAATAGGGTTAAGAAAAAAAAGAGGAACCCAACTATGTTACATGGAGCTCAGCCTGTCATGATTAAAACTCAGTTTAAAGATTTGTTCACCCGAGCAAATATCTCTGGACTGTTTCAGGCTGTGACTCTTCAATTAACCTGACATTTCACAAATCTAAAAGTGCTGTGGATGAACTCTTCACTTCGCTTCGGGATATTGCTGGAGCTCGGAACCTCATGAAACAGTTCAAGTCTGTATATGTTCCTGGAACTCATACCCACCAGGCAAGTGCATATGTTTTAAAGTAACCAGCTAATCTGTGCTGGGTTTTTAGGATTCAGAAACTAAAAGAAAAGTTTCCATTTTAAGCTGTTTAAAATGAAGGATTTGTTCAAGATGAAACCTAAAGCTCTTCTTTCAGAGTTCTGGATTCCCCTGAATCTGAACGCTTCCCAGTTTATTTGTACCACAGGCTTAATACAGCAAGATGAGCAATGGATTAGGAGTCAGCACTACTTTGTCAGTGGCCCAGACCTGTCCCGTCACCTTAGGCAAGTCCGTAAGTGCCAGATGAGGGGCTGGCTTTAGACAGTGCCCGGGTTTCTGGATCTAAGAATAACAGAATTACCAAATGATATTATGCAAAGAAAATAAAAGTTGATGACAGCAAAAACAGTTGTTATTTAAAATGCCCCCACCACTTTATGGGCTTCCCTTGCAGCTCAGCTGGTAAAGAATCCACATGCAATGTGGGAGACCTGGGTTCAGTCCCTGGGTTGGGAAGATCCCCTGAAGAAGGGAAAAGATACCCACTCCAGTATTCTGGCCTGGATAATCCCATGGACTGTATAGTCCACGGGGTCACAAAGAGTCGGACACGACTGAGTGACTTTCGCTTTTACCACCTTATAAGGAGAGTAGGAGACCTTTACTAGGATGTTTTGAGCAGCGAGTCGGAAACTGGTAAGAAAACCCAAGATGAATGGGGTAATTACTGTAGCACAACTTGATGGCAGAGCGAAGAGGAAGGTGGCAGAGTGAGGCACAGAAAGACCCAGAGGGGACATGAAGGGTGAAGAAAGGCTAGAGCCGTCGACACTGGGCAGTCTCTGTTAGACAAGGAGGGGAGCAACCAGGTTGCTGGTGGCCAGAGATGAGCTTTCAAGGAAGAGTAGATGTTTCTGACAGAAAAGATCATTAGGTTTTGCTGTGGCGTGGATGAAGGGATCTTCTCTCCCATCTTCCCATGAAATATTCCACAGAATTCACTCTATTTGCTAAGGCTTTCTTAGAGAGTTGAATGAGCTGTTAGTGGGGACTATGATCTAGTGAGGGGTTCAGCTTCGGGATGCTGACTCTCTAAGGTGGGCGTGTAGACAGGAGCTAAGGTTACCCACTACCACCTAGCGACATGCAGGTTCTTCCTCCCGTTTATTCATATAGTAGCTGATACTTGAAGTGAAGTGAAGTCGCTCAGTCGTGCCCGACTCTTTGCAACCCCATGGACTGTAGCCTACCAGGCTCCTCCATCCATGGGATTTTCCAAGCAAGAGTACTTGAAGAGTCCCCTGCATTTGGTTTCCCTTTGATCCTCACGCAAGTAGGCCAGAGAGGTATTATTATCTGAGACCTAGGAAGGCCGCAGTGACTTGCCACAGGCACACAGGTGCCAGGACCTGACCCCGTGTTTGCTGCCAACACAAAACCTCCAGTCATTGTTCTCACGGAGGTTCTAGAAATACTAACGGAGGGTGCTGTGGGTACCTGAAGTCACCCACCAAGACACCAAAGACCTTAGAAACTGGCGCTCAACTCAGTAATATAAATTCCCATCCTATGTACAGTGATCTAAAAAAATACTGATAAAATCACTCATAATGGATCAGTTGTAGTTTTGTCATTTAGAAAGTTACCAGTATTAAATATGGCAGTGTAGACTGGTTCTACAAGATGTGATTGAACTGAAGGTGCAGGATGAAATTTAGACCAAAGACTGTTGGGAGGCAAGTGGCTGCTATCACTGACCAAGGGGAGGTAACCACTAAATTACTAAGGTCTTTTCAGTTTTTATGATCATCATGGTGGCTGATTTGGCCGACTTCACATAAGCATGTTATCTATAAATCTTGAGCGTGATAAAGACAAGGATCAGTTTCCTAGACTTTATCTCCCTGCCACCAACTCAGTCATCTCCCCAGACCTCAGAACCCTATCTGAGCAGCCTTTGCCTTTGGAAAATGAACTCTCCCTTGTTGCATACAAGTTGCATACACTCCTGTGTAGTGAGTCAGTAACATTATCAAGTCATTCAACAAAACTCCCAAAGGTCCGTGAGTGGAAGTGGGGGCAAGGCAGAGAGTATATGTGTATCTTGAGGGGATTAAATAATATTAATCCAGACACCAAGTGAAATTCTATGCAACCAAAAAATGAGATCTATACATACTCAGCAAGGACTGTATTTGGATCCTTAGGTTCTACTTGGAGAACTCAAACTGTGGTTCGTGGTTTATTGGGTGAAAACCAATGTTTTGGGGTACATCTTGAACGCATTACATGTATTTTTATCATATACTGGAAGAGTTGTTGGGACAAAATTATATACAGATAGAAAATAACAGGTGTCCAGACCAGAAGCAGAGGCCAGCTCTGTCTAGCTTTGGAGATAGACCCTGGCTCAGCAACTTTCTGCCTGTCTCTTCTCCCAATTTGATCCTCAGCTCTAGGAGAAGTTAGTGCTTTCTATTAGCTCCATGCTGTTTCTACACATCATCTAGTTGGGATGTCCTGGGCTTCCTGGGGCACTCAGCAAAGACATAGACCTGGTCTGGTGAGGATTCCTGCCCCAGCTCTGACCAGTGCTATGTATCTGGGCTCTCTCCCCTGGATGTTGGGGCCCTACTCAACCCCAGGCTTCCTCCCAGAGTACCTTTCTCCTGCTCTGATGCAAGTGAGTTGACTCTTAGAGCCACTCCTCTTTACTCTCCTAGCTAGAGGCACTTGTTATTTAACCATCATCCTTTAGCCCTTTAGGTAAATGTTTCGGTCACAGCTCAGATGTAGAAAGCAGATCCACTCTCATCATTTTAAAGAAAATGTGATTTGATATAAGTAATTAAGTACATGTAGTATCTGAAAGAGCTGGAGGAGTGGGATCTAGACCAGGTATGTAGAAATGAGCCCCGAACATCACCACACACCTGGTTCCAAGAGAACCAGTACCATTGCCACAGCCAGGGGAGTGGGCATGGTGGCCACCACAAGGCTGCCATTGAAGCTCTTGGCTTGAAGAACACGCCAGCAAAGCTGGAGACAGCTTCTGTGTTTGCTCATCCTGGTAAATACAGAGCCCAGCTCAGTGCTTGCCACCTAGGGGTAAATGGGTAGGTGGATGGATCCTGGAGTATGGGTCTTTTTCAGAATGGTATTTCTTAATTCTAAGTGAGAGGGAGGTTAGCATGTAGGTTAGCCTCAGCCTTTGGGTTCATAACCCAGCTCTGCTCCCTGCTGTGTGACCTTAGGCAAATTACTTTACCCCTCTGTGCTGAGTCCCTCTTAGCTACTATTATTAGCTCCTTCATAAAAGTGCTCTGATGATTAGGTCAGTTAATACATGTAAGGCTTTTCAGGACACAAGCCAACACAGACAGTGCTATGTAAGTACTGGCTGTAACAGTTGTCTTAAAGGACGAAATAGACCTTCTCTTTGTCCTCTTCTGTAGCGTTTCATTGTTTCCTTTGTTAAGAGATGGGCTACACAGAAAGGGGGTCATTCTCAAGTTGACTTTCCTGTTATCTGTGGCATATGGTCAGAACTTACTACTCACACCCCTTTGTTTGGAAAAGTCATGTTTGTCCGTAGACGCTGTTGACCAGAAAGCTAAGCCCCAGTTTTGCCTTTATAGCAAGCCTTCTTCTGCTTTCCTTTCTTACTACAAATGTTCCGGTTTAATGGGAGGCTTAACCCTCTTCCTGAATGTCAGTGTTTGATGTGCTGCTGTTCCTCAGATGACTCAGGGCAAGGAGCTTATGAGCCCTTTCAGACAAAACACTGTATGACTCTTGCTTGACTAGCTTTGGCAAAACTCTCAAAGTGCTGTGCTGTGTTGGAGGAAACGTCCCACCTATGGGTACCGTCTTCTGTGCCTCTGGCATGTTGAACAAGAGCCTTTAGAACCTGCGGGGCCCAAGGAGGCTCAATTCATCTTGTGCCTGGTGAAATAGGGCCTCTGAACAGTCTGTAGGCCCAGTCTCTTCATCAGCAATCCCCAGCCCTGGCTACCAGCTTTTTCCAGTCCTTTTCCAAGTGCTAAGCTCTGTTCTTCCTCCTGATTCTATCTACCTAACTCCAGACCTGCTGACATCCTTTTTGAAAGCATCTGCGTGAGATAGCGTAAACTGGGGGCCAGGAAGCTTGACTCTCTCCTGCAGCCTAACTTCTAACTGCCTGTGTGAATTCAAGCACATTTATTAATAGCTTTGGGCTTTGATTTCCTTACATTGAAGTTAAAGGGACTAGACTGAAAACTTTTTAAAAGTCATCTGCTTGTGGTTTGAGGGATGGATGGATGGATGATAGATGGATGAACAGATAGACGAATAAACCACTTTTTAATCTCCAGAGCAAACCATTATCCTCAAGAAGATGAAAGGAGGAAAAAAGTCAGTCATAGTGTACAGCAAAAGATAAAAATAAATAAGCCCTGGAGTAGTCAAAACCCAAAGGCAAGGCCAGTTTTGAACAAAAGTTTTTTCTGTGCGATCTTGGATTGAAACAAAATAAATATCCTCTGTACAAGTCTAGTTCTCCTGGGAAGTTGATTGTTTAGAGTCAGTTTTGCAGAAAAGAAGCATTTGCAGCAGGAGGGTTAAGAGAGGCCCCGACTGCACCAGTATCAACCAGCAAAGCCAGGGTCAGCAGCACGACCAAGGGAATGTGGTTGTGGCTACAGGAGTTTTCTTGGAAACTGATCTCCTCGGTCATCTTCAGGTGGCCAGATTTAAGAAGATGTTGGAGTTGGTTTTTCAGAATCGTCTCTGGCTTATGTGTAATGTCAGAAACTATTGCTGTGCTCAGAACCTTTCTTCAAGGGTTGGAATCAGATCAGTAAGAACTTTCTAGACTGAATCATACGTTATCTCCACCATGAAAAGGAACCAAAGACATAGAAAGAAGTATTTTATTTTTCATATTCTGATTAACTATGGGATATTAAAAGTCCAGTTTGTTCTGGAACAGATACTAGCCATTTGACAACAAAAAGAGAGTTTCTGTTTTTTTTGA